AATGCGATGGCCGTTGGGGCGAAGGAAATGCGTAAGCATGCATGGGCGACCTTTACTGAAAATCATAACGGCCACTTTGTATCGGAAAACTGTAATCCCCGACGTCTTGACTTTTGAGGTGCCTTGTTTAGGGCGCCTTCATTGTGGAAGTGAGTGAGCATATGCTACACCTGAGCATCAGATTGCGCCGTCATCGGCAATAACTCGCAGCGACATCAAATAAATCGTGATTTTAACGTTGAAGAGCACTGGAGACAGGCAGCTGCCCTGTGGACGCCCGTTCTCCGGGAGGTGAATATCAGAGACAGCTGATCGACACCTCACACGAAGTTTCCGCATACCTGGGAGAAAACTCACTTGTAATCCGTCAAATTTTGCTCAAACCGCAACTCGTGAAGCTTGAAAAGCAGGTTTTAACGCCTTTTTATTGGCGGGAGCCAGATTCCGGAAAACAGCACTGACTTCAGGTTTTTAACGAAACGCATGCTGAATGGCTGTTCGAGGCGAATCATGTGATGATAGTGGGGAAGGTTACCCCGAAACCCAGATCGGTGGTTCGATGTGAGTTTGTCGTCAACTGTTTATTTTGTTTATTTATTGTTTAGTACGTCATAAGCTAACTCCACTCAGAATGTAGCTATTACAGAGCTCGTGTCGTGGAAATGAAACACTGGCTTGCGCAAACACGTACACACGCAGGCACGCACACGCAGAACGCACTCCCTCACATTCGCTAAAATCATTTGAAATAGGCGTCGCTGTCTGCTATTGATCTGCCGCTGCAGGATAAAACTACGCAACTCGTGTTTGAATTGTGGAAGGCTCAGCTCGCGAACATTCTGCGGTAGTGCAACGTAGGCGGTCACGGTGGAGTAGACAAAACGCCGACTTCCCGATTCGTATCTGAAACTAGAAAGTAGAAAACTAGAAACAAGGGAAGGCGTTTGCCAATTCTGCGTTCCAGAAGTTTTCCCAGACGCTGGTGAACACAGTGGGACGGCATTTGGTTGGGAATTGCCCATCCCCTGCCTACTTTGGTGAGCGGTATGATGCGTGTGTTCCTTCATGCTCTGGGAAAGACACAGAGCATGACAATCTGTCCTAAATATGCTGAAGCATGTTGCTAGTTATGGAACCAAAGACGTTGGAGCTTAGTACTTGTTTTTGATTGTTTAGTAGTTGAGCTGTAGTTTTTAGCTGTAATTTTAGTGTAGTTTATCCTGTTCTACTGAGGTGTTGCCGGTGAACTTAACTACATTTCGGAGCTCTGGTAAGAAAATGGTACGATTGAGTCCTCTGCGCTGTCAGGAGACAACATTGGGAAATAAATGAAAACTGCGTCGTGCATGTCCATGAAGCTGCCTTGCAGCTGTCTGAAAGGCTACAGTAAGCTAGACTTTAGGCGGGAGCTTTCACAACATGTGGCGCTGCCGAAAATAAAAAGTTGTTGATTCGGAGAGCTGAAAGGGAAAATGAAGGCCGCTCACCAGAAAGTGAACAATCCAAACGAAACGCAACGGCGATGGCTGTTGTGAAATGCAGTCGAAAGCTCTGCCGGGGGTGACGTTTCGCGGCTCTTACGAGTTTGCGGGCTCGTGTGTGCTCGGAGTTGCAGACAATTGGACGAAGAATGTCGTGATGGCGTCTACAGCCTCGAAAAAATACCTCCAGCTCGCAATGTTCTTTTTTCGAATTCCATCCGTCGACCGTGGCTGTTGGCTGTGTCGTGGTGAGGGCCGAGTCGAGTGAGTGATATTGCCGTGGAGGCTGCACTGTCAAGGACGGCTGCGATGCAACCCATGCCCTGCGTAGGTGAGATGTCATGAGAATGAGAACTGTGAGGTGCGTAGTCGACCTTGTGTATGCTCCAACGGGGTAAGAAAAGATAAGGCTTCAGCGGCAGGTGCCAGTGCGGTGTAGGTCTTGTTGGGGAAAAGGTCACTGTCGTGCGTATCCCATCAACCGACAAATCAAAGGCGATTGCAGGAGAACATACACAAAAGCCTATTGCGCCGTGACTATATATATATATATATATATATATATATATATATATATATATATATATATGTTGTATGTCCTCGCCAGGAATCGGTAGTAACCCACTTCGTGGAATTGTTCCTAATAAACTAAACTAAGCTGCTCTGAAAACCAAAAAATGGTCGTTCGTCACAGCGGTGTGCTTAATCGGCTGACATATACATAGCGAAGACTAGGCTGATGGTCCAAAGAGGTCCTTCTCCCTCCCCCTTTACATTAAACGACACCCCTGGTTCTTGGGGGCGTCGTTTAATACACATAACGTGACACATGACATACACATGACATGTGTCATGTATTAACTACATGACACATTTTCAAAGCAATGTCATGAATCATTGAACCAGCCGGCGCCATCAATGGTGGCTTTTCCGAGACCCGCACTGTCTGGACTGCATCCATGAGCGCTCACGCATTCGGCAAAAAATCAAACTCATCTCTTCGTGTATTTTGACATTGAGCTAACGAATAAGCGATACGCCTTGAACGATAACGTGGTTCCATGTGAGGCCTACCAAGCAGTATCACAATGAAAGCCGAACAGTGCTCTGTTGGAATGAGAACGGCGATAGAAAGACGGGGACTGGTGGCCGCCTGGTGGTTGCACACTTGGCATCAGCAGAAAATAGGGTATACGAAAAGAACGAGTCCGCTGCAGCGTGGTACAATGCAGCTCACGGCTGTGACGAGAGGAACGAGTGCACACGTGCACGTCGTGAGTATATCACACTAAAACGGCGGAAGTTTCAGGAACCACGCTAATATCCACCTCACGTAGGAACACAAACGAAGTAGGCCACACGCCTATAAATGGAACACAGGGCGACGGTACATGGAGCTCAGTGGCCCGGCTACGCCTTGACGGGCCTCAGTGCATCAAGATATATCAGAGAGTAACAAGTGGTGATAGAGAAATGAAGATTCCGGACACCGGCTAGTTGCTAGACGCGTCATCCCAGAACTGATGAGAGACGCGAGACTAGAATCACGCAGCCAGTCAAGCCTGACAGCAGCAGTTCTACGCTGAAAGAGCGTCCACGTGTCCACGCCAGGAACCTCGCGAAGAACGGGGAGTAGAGTGAGTCATTTCCGCGCCAAGCCGTCGCTAGCCAACACACAGGGAGGCGGTACGATCGTCTCGGCATGGGCAGCTGGTGGCGATCGTCACATCGCGGACAGCAGTCAGGAGAGCGGCTGGGGAAGCATCGCGGGCGCCCGGCGGGTCGTGGCGGACCCAGTGGTGGTCAGAGTTGTGAGGATGTTCATTGGATTTAAAGAGGAGGATGAAGCAGTCATCAAGCGCGCGCTCATCAGACTGCTTCGGACCAGGGGATGCTTGGAAAGTTGTTGGTCGATCCGGAGGCACGTGTCGAGTAGCAATGAGCCACGAGGTCGCTCATCAGAACAAACGACCACCCGTGGTAGACGAGGTTCACGAGGACATGACTGCGGTCTGTTTCGTAGACCCAGACGGTATCACAGTAACGAAAACCAAGCACGGGGCTTGTAGAGGAACATATCAGCAAGCACGAAGGCATTGTTTTCCTCGGCGCATTTTCACCGCGTCAGCATCTGAGCGTCTGCAGAGAAGTCGAGGAAGTTCGGTGAGCTCACCAGTCAACGGGTAGTCGTCACAGAGATGATGGAGCAAGGCGAGCCTCGGCAACCGAACAGAGCGCGCCGATGGCTGCGTTACCTGAGAAGGGCCAGGCGAAGCCGCGCGCTGCGTGGGCTGGGGTCGCGGCCACGCGGGCGGGAGGGCGCCGCACGCCGCTGACCGTGTCGCGCCACTGCTGTCCGCGTGTCCGCGCCGCTGCTGTCTGCGTGTCCGCGACGGCCGTGTCCGAGACGAGCGTGCCGCCGGCCACATGTTCGCGCGGAGCCCGCGCCACGTGAATGGCAAGGCATCGCGATCACTCGAGCTGCACGCAGTCGCGGGGTCGGGGAGGGGAGGGACGGCGCGCCACCGCGCCGGCCGCGTCGGCGCGACAGACACCCACAGCCCGAGGGTCCGGCGCGCGGCCGACGATAACTGAATCCGCCGCCTCAGTCGGCCAGTCTCGCGCGCACTCTCGCGCCGCTGCATGCGCTGCACAATTTGTTATCCTAGTAGCGGCCTCCTGGCCGCTCGCAATTGGTTACCCTACGTCAGTTCCCGGCTCGCGCCGTGCTGCGCGCTCCGCCACCGCACCCCACCGAGCGCTGCGCACACCTCCTCCCAAGGGTGCTCAGAACTCGAGCCGGTAGGCGGCGCAGCTGGTCTCGTGATCCTGCAGGTTGATGGTGCAGCGACTGGCCGACGGTGCCAAGTCGATGCGCAGGTCTTCCAGCTGCTGCTCGTTAGAGGCGAACCAGTGACCCAGGGTGTCGGTGTCATAGGTGGGAATAATGGTGACCTCTGTGGGAGAGAGACGCGACATCAGCAGAGTAGCGGAGGTCGGCATTTTTACGCGTCTATATCGCACACACCCGACTGCCGTTGCCTTGGGCGTGAAATGGCTTAAGCCCTCTGAAACCTTAAGTGAAAAAGCAACTACTGGTCGAAAAATAGTTGCGGAATGGAGCGAACTACTCGGCAATGACACCATCAAACCCAACAAAAACATATGCTTTAATAGATAGAACAGACCGCACAAATACAAGGCTAGGACGCTAACTCAGAGCCTTGATGTCAAATGGCTGTTCGGAGTGATCCACAGGCCTTTCAAGATGCTATTTCTATTGATTTTCATTCACTCTGACAAGTGTCGTACACATGTATAGGAGCTTTCCGCCGTACACCGGCCAGTGAAACGAAGCACAGGGCTGAAATAAATGAGTCCGAGGTTTAAGATATTTCACTTAGGGGTTTCCCAGACGCGCAGTGGCTGGCGCAAGAGATTAGCAACTACACCATGGGTACCCTAATTCACAGCATGGTTCTTGAACGTTTTGCGAGATAGGACAACGTCGTATCACTCGCCATTGTCGTCCTTGCGCGCAACTCAGCTCACCCAAATCTTTGTCCTCCCAATGCTGTTTGGCCTCTAACAGAGCGTTGAACACCTCGCGGCTGGGCTCGATGCTGCTGAACACGTAGTAGCGCGCCCGCACCCTGTGGAAGAACTGCACGCTGGAGTAGAACGAGTTGGCGTGGTGGGGTACGTACACCAGGTCCAGGTAGACGGGCGGTGGCCCAGCCAGCCTGCCGCCGCGCGGCGAGTCGCTGGCACGCGCGCGAGCCATGATGGCCCGTTTGGTGGGCGGCGGGGTCTGCACCCCTCCATGGTCGGGCGGTGGCACGGGCGAGGGCAGGCCGAGAGGCGGGCCCCAGCCGGGCACCGGCTCCTCCTCCTCGCGCTCGCCGGCGCCGAGGGACGGCGAAAGTGACTGGGGCGGCGATCGTGGCTGGCGGAACTCCACCCCGGGCAGCGAAAGCTCGGCGTCGCCGCCATGCAGCGATTCGTGGAACGAGCCGGTCATCACGTCGTGGAACGACTCGTGCATGGAGCTGGTCATGGGGTCGAGCACGGCGCCCAGGCGGCGCGGTATGGCGTCCGGGGCCTCGACGTCGGCCGACACCGGCGCCTCGGGTTCGGCCGCGACGCGGGGCGAGGAGGGTTCGCGCGTGCTCGAGCGGCCGCTCCACGACGCCTCTTCGCGGATGTCGCTCAGTTCGGACGAGGAGCGACGACGCGCGTCGTCGTCCGGCAGCGAGCGGACGTCGCGGCGCACCACCAGCTCTTCCACCACCTCACGACGTTCTTCCGACGGGGACGGACGCTCGACCACTGGCGGCGGCGGGATTTTCGGCCCTACCCGCGGCGGGGCTTTGGGCTCCTCCACCGACGGGATTTTCGTATCGTCAGCAGGCGCCTTCTGCTCCTGCTCCGGGGACTTCCGACCGAACATCTTGCTGAAGAAGCCGGTTTTCTTCTCCGTCTTCGGCGACTCCTTGGTCGGAGACGCCTCCTTTGATTTCCGTCGTCCGAAGCCGAAGAGGCCGCCGAATGTACTCCGGGTGGCCGAGCCGACCTCCTCCAGCGTCTCCTCGGCGCTCTGGTACAGAGACTCGCTCATCTCCGTCGCGTCTGACGCCAGCTGCTGCGTCGCCGACTGCATCTCGCCCTCCACCTTTGAAAGCCCTGTGCTAACGCCCTCTACAACAGACATCACGCTGGACGAGACCGACTCCGCGGACTCTTGCACGGCGTCCTCGGCGTCCTGCATGACGTCGCTAGATTGCCTGCCGACCCGCGACAGCGCCTCACTGACGCCCTGCGCGGAGTCGTCGGCCTTCCTCACGACCTCCTGGACGGCTTGGTTCACCTGGTCGTCAGCGGCACTCGAGAATTCGCTAAGCTTCTCTACTCCCTGACTGGCACTCTTCTCCGCCTCTTCGAGGCGCTTGTCCATCGCGCTCTTGAGATGCGCATCTGCTTTGGCGAGAGTTTCCGAGACGCTGTCCTGGAGGCCGGTGGCAGACTCGCGAGCTTGCTGCACGGTTTCGTGAGCAGCGTCCGAAACCAAGGTGTCAATCTCTTGTGCTTGCTTTTCGGCCTCAGTAGCGCTCTTGGACAGTGACTGCTCAACAGCCTTGGTTGCGGAATCAATCTGCCGTGAAACTTCACTGACACCAGTAGCTAAGGCTTCGCCTGAAGCTTTGGCAGACGTCTCAACATGTTTTGCGGCGTCCTGAGCCTCTTGAGATATCTTTGAAGCTTCTTTAGCGGCTTCAGAAGCTACCTGGGACTGCACGTCCTCGACGTCTTGGAATTTGTCCATCACGGCTTCGTCGATGACTTTGGTAGTCGTTTCGAACGTGGTGTCTGCGCTTTCCACACCCTCTTTCAAAATTTTGCTGGCTGATTGCGCAGTTTCCTCCACGGCCACTTTGGCGTCTTGCACTCCACAACTCAAAGCCTCGTCAGCTGACCTGATGACTGTTTGGATCTGACCAGCCGCGCTTTCCGCACCCGTTCTAAAGGCGTCGTCAGCAACCTGGGTGACTTCTTTCAGCTGCCCAGTTACATCCTGAGCAGTGGCAGCCAAGGCCTTGGCATCGCTCTGGACATCCGCTTCTGTCCGTTTGAGAACGTCTTTTGCATCCGACAATATTTCTTCGGCAGCTTTCACAGGCACCTCAACTTGATCAGCTGCATCTTTTACTCCATCCATCAATGCCTTTTCGGACGTTTTGACCGCTATTTCGACTTGCTTTTCTGCGTCCTGGGCTCCTTTCACCATGGTTTTGTCAGCAGCTTTGGCGGCTGTTTCAGCTTTCACCTTGGCGTCTTCAATTCCAGTTGCCAGGGCTTCCTCGGCAGTCTCTGCAGCTGTTTGTGCCTGTTTCTCGACATCATGAGCTTCAGCAGCCAAAACGTCCTTAGCAGCTTCAAAAGTGGTTTCAACCTGCTTTCCGGCGTCCGCTACATCGCTACTCACGGCCTTCTCAGCAGCTTTGGCGGCGACCTTGACCTGCTCCATGGTATCTTGAGCTGTGCTTCTCGTATCGTCGCCAGCAGCGTCGATGGCAGCTTCGATCTCCTCTTTGGCATCCCGAATTCCACTCCTCAGTACATCGTCAGCAGTTTTAGAGGCTGCTTCGACCCCAGACATGACGTCCTGGGCTTGAAGCTTCAGAGATTCTTGAGCGGATTCGGAAGCTGTCTGTGCCTGCTCTGTGACACCTTTAGTGGCTGCTTGGACCCCAGACATGATGTCTTGACCTTGAAGCTTCAGAGATTCATGAGCGGATTCGGAAGCTGTCTGTGCCTGCTCTGTGACACCTTTAGTGGCTGTTTGGACCCCAGATATGATGTCTTGAGCTTGAAGCTTCAGAGATTCATGAGCGGATTCGGAAGCTGTCTGTGCCTGCTCTGCGACGCCTTTACCTGCACTGGTGCAAATATCCTCGGTTATCTTTGCAGATGGCTCAGCTTGTTTTTGGACGTCATGGAACTCAGCTTTTGGCGTCTCGTCGCGAGTTTCAGTAACACCTGGGGCCTGTCCCGCGCTACCGTGAGCTCCACTCTTCGGGACGACATCAGCTAATGTGGTGATCATCGAGTCAGACATGGATGCAGCTTGGGCCGATATCCTCTCCGCCGCCTCACTGGCGCCTGACAGCAATGCCGTCCCTACGTCCTGAATGTAAGTGGTCGATTGTTCGATGAATCCTTGCCCTGTTGATGCGGTCGCCTTTACTTCGTCCTCCAAGTCGGCAAGGCCAGAAGTCGCGGTGCTTTCGGCACTCCTCTGCGATGACGATAGGGCCTCTCCCACGGAGGCTGCAGTCGCGCCAACGTCTGACGCCTTCTCCTCCGCCGCGGACTTCACCCGTCCAACGACCTCCTCGGCCGCCTTTACGGCACTCTCGCACACATCCTCTGTGAGCGCCGCGACCTCGCCGGTCTGCCTCGCAGCGTCCGCAGCCCTCTCGGTCACGACTTTGTCCGCGTCCTGTGCCTTCCGATCAGCCGCCCCCACTGCCTCTGACAGGGAGCTGCTGAGCGCCTCGCCGAAGGAGCGAACCGATGACTCGACGCCGGCCACAGCTTTGGCGGTCCAGTCGCCGGTGGTCTGGCACGTCTCCTGCATCTCGCTGGCCGCCCCCTTCGCCGACTCCTCGGCCGCCGCGCGAGCCTGTCGCAGCTCCGTTCCGATGTCTGCGGCTGCGGCTTCGGTTCGGCTCGCCGCTGCCTGCGTCGCATCGGACACGCGATCCAGGGCGTTTTCGGCGGTCGTTTCGGCAGCCCTGCGGGCGTCTTCCGCGGCCGTCCCCGCGGCCTCGGCTGTGGCCACGGCCGGCCCCTGGATGGAGTCCTGGGCGCGGGCAGCGCTGGTACAGACCCCATCCGCCGCCGCCGACGCCGCCTCGGCCGCGCTCGACGGTAGCGACTGGGCACCCACGCCCTCGCTGGTGAGATCCCCGTCCACCTGCAGCTGACTGGTTTTCTCAGCCTGGTCTTTGACGCCATCCGTGGTAGTCGGGGTCACCGCGCTTGTGTAGTGGATCGCATCTGGCTCACGTGATTCCAGTGTTTCGGCCGCGGAGGTGATGGCACCCGAGATCATGTGCCCGATTGACTGCAGTGCTGAAGTGACGGAGCCAGTGACGGAGGCAGGAGTGTCTGAGGAAGGGCGCACTGTTCCATCAGGTGCTTCCCCGGATGTTTTTGTTGCCGTGAGCACTTTGTCTTCTGGTGTTTCTTCAGCAGGCTTTGTCTCTGTTAGCTTACTTGCGTCAGCTTGTCTCGTCCGGAAGTTTTGTCTCGGTTTTACCTGCAGAAGTTTCTGTCGTGCCTTGTGTCAGTGGCAGTCCTCCAGTAATATAATGAGTGACGGTGGAGATCGTTTCGCTACCTAAATCTGTCGCATCTGATACCACCTGCTTTATATCTTGAGCTGTTGTGTGTAGGTCGTCGCTGATGATTTCGGTCCTCTTGATTTCATCGTCCCCTACGAGCGTCTTAGCGTCGCTTGCCTGGTAAATTGATTCGGCTTTGTCCGAAAACCTCGAGACCGATTGTTGGGCGTCCTCCAGTGCAGGCTCCATCGACCCGCTCGTGAGCAGCAGGCAGGTCTGGCAAGTCATCGGCGCTCTCCGGCTTGCTTCGCCCAGACATAAAATCGTCTATTTTGGCGGAAGCTTCTGCTATGTACTGTCCCATCGAGTGTGCCGTTGTGCTCACACCTTCTTGCACCGCAGACGTGGCGTCTGCCAACGTCTTTTTTACCTCCTTTCAAGCTGTCCGCAGCAGAGTCCGAGGCCTCACTACCCTGTTCCCGCAAGGCCTCAGCTTTGGCGGAAGAGGCCTCCTTCAGACTCTCCGTAGCTGCGCCCACAACTTCTTGTACGTCACCCACGGCTCTGTCAGCGGCCGTGGTTGCAAGGTCACCTAGTTTTGTCGCTTCACCACTGATGCTCCCTGCCAAGTCCATGGTCGCGGAGGTGGGTGAAGCTGAGACCTGCTGGCTGTCTTCCTTCGACTCGCTGGGCAACACGGATCCTGCAGACGCCTTTCGCACCGGCGCGAGTTCCGCGTGCATCCCATACTCCGGCGCTGGCACTGAGAACGAACGCAACGTCAGAGGTTGGGTATCAACACTAGTGCTTTCGGCAGGAGTGGGCTCGGACAGCATTGCAAGGTCAGGGCCGAGCTCAGAAGACGCGACCTCCTTGGTCCCTGAGCTTGGAACGTCGCGACACGGTACTTCTCCAGGAGATGTCTCAGAGTCGACAGGCTGCGGGCTGGAGAGGCTCAGTCCTACACCGGCACTCTCCGCAAGGGATGACAGGGTGGAGGTGACGGACGAAGTCAGTTTTTCCGCTTCAGTATAAGCTTCTTCGAATGTATCGTGTATCACATGACTCTCCCGGTCACCGGTTGATCCAGCTGTTTTGTCGGCATCGGCCGGCTGAACATCAGACTTGTCACTTGAAGACATTCGACTGGCGTCAAACTTCTCAGCCTCGGGTTCCTTGTGAGGGGCGTGAGCCTCTGAGCCATCTTTTGATTTTGGTTCCTGAGTTTTGGCCTCCTGAACTTTCCCTAGCCTGCCACCGCCGATGTCCATCACAACCGCTGCGCCTTCCCTGATTTCGACACGCTGTTCTACCCCTGGCTCATCCGGTGACATCTGTGCGCTGCTGATCTGTGTGTCATCGTGAGCGTCGCTTGCTTCTACCTGCTCACTTCGGCCGACATCTTCTTCCTGGACGCGTGAAGAGTCGATCTTATCTTCTGCGTGGCTCCTAGCTCCCTCTGTGATGGAGTGACTTTTTTGATCGACGTCTACTGTTCCAGCAGCAAGCGTCGGATCAACGCTACGCTCATGGTCGTCTGCGCCTTCCCCTTTTCGTGCGATGCCGTCCTTAGAACAGACTTCGGCACTCTCTATATGCTCCGCGTCATGTTCGTGCGGAGGGCTGCTAGGATGCTTGCCACCAGCAAGACTGTCCACCACCGGGGGTACTGTGGCTTGGGCACCGTCGACAGCATCTCGCTTTTCATCCAGCGGTGCGTGGATTGCTGCGCCGGGCGCCTCCGGTGTCATCGGTGATTTTGATGTCTCTTGTTGCCCAGCTCCAGTACGGACGACCTCCCTGGCAGCATCCTGCACCAAAACTACTTCCCGGTCACCAATGTCTTTATCGGTCGCCTCCGCTTTTGCTCCACCCTCCCGCGTGCGGTCGGCCTCGGCGCCTTCCTCGGCTGACGCTACGGCCGCCGGGCCCTCTCCTCCTTTGTCTGGACGATCGGCTGACTGAGCAGTCGACGTGACGTCATCTGCTCCCTCTGCACAAACCGCGACGGCACCCTCCGGTGCTGCGTCTGTGTGCTTCGCCGGGCCCGGTGCGCCGCCGTCTTCGAAGCGCGAGGCCACTCCGGGCACGAACGCGGAAAGGATGCCACCGGCGTCCATCAGCTCCTGATAGACGGCGCCGTCACTGTCGCCGCGCAGTGGCGACGCCGCCGCGTTGCCGTTCATCGAATCTTCCGTCTTCAGGACCTGGGAGGCGACCTCGGCAGGTGTGAAAGCCTTGGCATCAACATCATCCGCCTGGTGAAGATCTGACGCCGTTTGAGGAGTGGTGGTCTTGGTGTCTGTGTAGCTTTCGTCCCTCGCAGTTCCGTCTGTCCCAGGAGTTTTTGTCTCGTGGGGTTCCAGATCGGCTTGCTCGCCTGTCTTATCTACTGGTGAGGTTGTTGTTGTGGTGGTTGGTTGCTCGACACCGGATGCGGGTGTTGTTTTCTCGATGACAGACGCGTCATCGGCAGTAGTCTTGTCTCCACTTGGCACGTGTTCAACACCGGAAATGTCACCTCGTCCGTCGCTGTCTTCAGGTGTGACCTGGCTGTCTGGTTGCACGTCGGCTTTTAGCTCAGTCTTCTTGGGAGTCTCTTCAACTGCACTTGGCATTTCTTTCGGAGGTTCTTTGGTTCGGTGTTCCGGGCTTTTTAATGCACTCTTATCTTCATGATCGTCAAGATCCTTACCCAACACACTTGCAGCATCAGCCCTGCTTTTTGCCGGGCGACGAAATTACAGCTGCAGGATAGGCAGCAATATGTTTGCTGGTTGGACGGGTCTTCTCAGTGACATCTGAAATTTGGTCGTCTAGCCACTCGTCACCTGCCGGAGATGCCACGTGACCGGCCGGAGATGTTACGTCACCCACCGGAGATGCTACGTGACCGGCCGGAGATGCTACGTCACCCGGTTTGCTAGGCGAACCTTCCTCTCGTTCAGTTGTGTCTGCAGCCTTTGTGGGAGAATCGGAAATGCACACTTCGCTCTTCGACTTGTCGCCCACATCAGGCCCATCATCAGGTTTTTTGGGGTGTTTTAGGTCGTCCCCATCGCCATCATCTTCATGTGCTGCCTTAGTCTTGTCCGTCACAATGTCGGTTGGGGTGATGGCCGCCGGTGTGGTATCACTATCTCCCGTCTGAGTCGGCCCCAGGCAGACTACCTTTTTGCATGTAATAAGACCTTCTTCGTCCAGAGCGTAATCATGCCCGTCGTCGGCTCCTATGCAAATGCTTTCACCCGCTACCTTGCAGGGCATGGACTTCATGATGACATCCACGCTGGAGTCCAGATCTTTTAGCTTTGAGCTGAGGTCCTTGGACGCCCTTCGCTCCGGCTCAAGCAGCGGGGCCTTCAGCTACAGCCCCGGATGTGGGTGCTGGGGCGGCTGGTACCGGTTCATCGAAGCTCTGCATCTGGTCCAGAAGGCTATCCAAGTCCTTCTCTGTGCGCTTGGTCTCAGTCTTTGGGTCCGCATCCTTCTCGAGCTTTCCAGCCGCTGCCGCCAGCTGCTCATAGCTCGCGGACTTGGCGACCACCCCGGACCCGATTTGCAGCATTGTGTCCTCGATCTCCGCCCGGGCTGAGTCCGGACTGAGGTTGCTGTGGTCGAAGGCCGGGTCAACGCTAATCTTGTGCGGTAAAGTAGCATCCCCACCACCCAGATCGGTTCGTCCATTTAGCCGGGGCACGGTTTCCTTCACCATGTCTTCCTCATCAGACTCGGCTTCCGCAGCGGCGCCCGGTCGTTTCCCTTGTGTGTCATCTTCAACCGGCATCTTTCGCTGGCTTATGGTGGTTGTGTCGTCGTCCTCCTTGGTAGCATCTTTGGCTGTACTGCTTGGCTGCTCAGCGCTTGATGCTATATCTCTGCCACTGATGATCTGGGACATCAAGTCGTCTTCATCCAAGACGTCTCGGCGCTCGGTAGGCTCTGCCGATACACTGGAAATATCACGCCTGGGTGGTGGGACCGTGTAGCTGTCGTATCCGCTTTCAACAGCCGTTATCTCTCTCTCAATTTCAGCCACGATATCTGTGCTCGGCCTGCCAGCGTGAACCGACTCCACCCGCTCCGCCACGGCGGAAACCGTGATAGGCTCGAGCCGCTCTTCAGACACCTGTACCGACGTCTTTTGCGCGGGCTGCTCCTTCGCTCTGGCGGTGGCCTCCTCCTCAGCTCGCCTGGAAGGCGGTTCCTCGGAGCTGCTGACGATGCTGGCCTCGCTCAGCTGTCGAGATCTGGTCTTCGGACTGTAGGTGACGATCTCTTCCACGTTCTCGTACCGCTGACGCCGAGGACTGATCACTTGGTACTCTTCTATGATGTAAGAGGTTTTCCTGGCCTGAGTGCCCTTGCCTGATGTGTCACTGGCGGTGGATTCGGTCATGGAATCTGCCTGAATCTCGCTGTGCTCGGATTCAACAAAGGAGGCCGCCATGCCATGCGAGGATGTTGCTGAGGCCAGCATGGAGGACGCGGATGATGTTGGGGTCGTCCGATCGGATTCGACGGGCGCTGGAGCCTCTGATGTTCCTGTAATTTGTAAGCTGTCGTCGGGCTTGGCATCGTCCCTTGCAACATGTTCAAAGGAGGGTTTGTCATGATCTGGAGATGCTCTCATGGCTATTGCAGCCTGCTCCTTCAAAAAGTCTTCCACAGCCGTTTCCTTTTGCCTCGCAACGTCGGCTTCCAATGAACCGACATCCTGTTCAGTTTGCTCCTTCGCGACCGTGGGTTTTTCTTCCTCAGCTCCTTTTTGTGTCTCAGGCGGCTTATCAGCCTCTGCTGGCACCCTTGCTGGAGTGGACTCGGCGGCTAGGCCTTCTTTCGCCGTTTCTTTGTCAGATGGAATGGTTTGGACACGATCTACTGTTTTCTCTATATGCTCTACATGCACTGACTGTAAGCTGCTCGTTTGCTCAGGCTTTTCTATCATTTTGGCAGCGTCCTCGTCAATTTCTTTGTGTTCTTTATGAATCTCACTGGCTTCATCATGTTCAGCAGTGTATGCAGTGGTTGTAGTTGTTAGCTGCACGGTCTCAGACTGATACTTAATGATATCCTCTCCCTCTTCCAGACTGATTTTCTCCACATGTTTATCACTGGCGGTTATATCCTTTGGTGCCACATCTTGTATGAGGGCTGCCTGTTCTGCCAGGAACGCTTGGATCGGCTGCTCAACGCCACCTGAGGCAAGCATATCTTGACTCGCTGGTAGGGTACCAGCAGGTTTTTCAGTGGTCGCAGGCGAGACGTCCTCATGTTTAGCGTCTGCTGCTCTGGCCAGAGCATGTTCAGCGACGAATCCAGTTGTGGCAGCTGCTAGCTGTGGTGCCTCCGACGGAGATGGAGTGATATCCTTTTCCTCCTCAGGACGAATTTTCTCTGGGTGTTTATCACTGATTGTTGCGTCCTTTGCTGACTCATCTTGAACGAGGGCAGCCTGTTCTGCCAGGAATGCTTGGATCGGTTGCTCAGCGCCATCTGAGGGAGGCATATCCTGACCCGCCGGTAGTGTGTCGGCACGTTTTTCAGAGCCCGCGAGAGAGGTGTCTTCACCTTTAGCGTCTGCTACACGGGCTTCATGACGTTCAGTGGCATCCCCAGTAGCTGCAGCAGCTAGCTCTACTGCCTCAGACGGAGCCTGAATGACATCCTTGCCCTTCTCAGGGCCAGTTTCGTCCACATGTCTATCACTGGGCGCTGCGTCCTTTGGCGTCTCGGCTTTGATGTCTCGCATGGTAGCCGCCTGATCTGCCACGCCTGCTTGGATTGCTTGCTCGGCGCCCTCTGAGGGAGGCATATCCTGGCTGGGTTGAAGGGTGTCAGCACGTTTTTCAACGCCCATGAGAGGAGGTGTCCTTATCTTTAGCATCTGCTGCGCTGACTTCGTCATGTTTAATGGCATGCCCAGTAGTCGTAACTGCTTGCTCTACTGTCTTCGACGGAGACTGAATGATATCTTTGCCTTCTTCAGGACTAATTTTTTCCTCAATTTCAGCACTGGTTGTTACATCCCTCGGAGGTACATCTCGGGTGAGAGCTACCTGTTCTTCCTGGCGTGCTGGAGACCTAATGCCGTCCTTTTCCTTTTCAGGACTAATTTCCTCTACATGTTTATCACTGGCAATTGCATCCTTTGGTGCCACATCTTGTATGAGGGCTGCCTGTTCTGCCAGGAATGCTTGGATCGGCTGCTCAGCGCCATCTGAAGCAGGTATATCCTGACTCGCTGGTAGGGTATCAGCTGGTTTTTCAGGGGTCACAAGCGAGACATCCTCATGTTTAGCGTCTGCTGCACTGGGCAGAGCATGTTCAGCGACGAATCCAGTCGTTGCAGCTGCTGGCTGCGCTGCCTCTGACGGAGATGGAATGATATCCTTTTCCTCCTTAGGGCTAATTTTCTCTGGGTGTTTATCGCTGGGGGTTGCATCCTTTGGTGGCACATCTTGAATGAGAGCTGCTTGTTCTGCCAGGAATGCTGTGATCGGTTGCTCAGCGCCGTCTGAAGCAGGTATATCCCGGCTGGCTTGAACGGCATCAGCACTTTTTTCAAAGCTCACGGAAGAGATGTCCTCATCTTTAGCGTCGGCTACACTGGCTTTGTCTTGTTCAGTGGGATATTCAGTAGCTGTAGCTGCTAGCTCTGCTTTCTGCGACAGAGGCTGAATGACATCCTTACCCTTCTCAGGACTGACCTCGCCAATCTGTTTATCGCTGGTGGTCGCCTCCTTTGATGGCACACCTTGAATGGGAGCTGCTTGTTCTGCCAGGAACTCTTTGGTCGGTTGTACAGTACCATCTGAGGGAGGCATGTCCTGACCCGCCGGTAGGGTGTCGGCACGTTTTTCAACACCCGCGATAGAGGTGTCTTCAGCTTTAGCGTCTGCTGCACTAGCCAGAACACGTTCAGTAACATATTCAGCAGTTGCAACTGCTTGCTGTACTGTCCTCAGACGAAAGCTGGCTGACATCTCTACCCTCTTCAGAACTAATTTTGTCAACATGTTTGTCACTGGGGGCTGCATCCTTTGGTGGCACATCTTGAATAAGGGCAGCCTGTTCTGCCAGGAATGCTTTGATCGGTTGTTCAGCGTCATCTGAAGCAGGCAAATCCTGACTTGCCGGTAGGGTGTCAGCACGTTTTTCAGAGCCCACGAGAGAGGTGTCGTCCTCTTTGGCCTCTGCCACACTGGCTTTGTCATGTTCAGCGGCATGTTCAGTGCTTGCAGCTGCTAGTTCTGCTGTCAGGGACAGAGACTGAATGATTTCCTTGCCCTTCTCAGGGCTTATTTTGTCCACATGCTGTTCACTGGGGGTTGCATCCTTTGGTGGCACATCTCGAATGAGTGCTGCTTGTTCCGCCAGGCCTGCTTGGATTGCTTGCTCAGTGTCATCTGCGGCACGTGTATCCTGACCCGCCGGCAAGGTGTCAGCAAGTTTTTCGAGGCCCACGACAGTGGTGTCCGCATCTTTTGCGTCGGCTGGTGGGGCGACTTCAGTCAATCCTAGGCTTTGAGTATCACGGGTCAAGTCTGCGACGTCTTTGTCATCTTTTTTCGCAAGCGCTTTTGACGATTCGTCCAACGGCTCGATGCTGACAGCTGCTGTGTCTTCTTTGTCACCGCTTGCAGGATACTCAGTCTTGGCGATATCCTTTTTACTGACAGCCTGTTCAGAAGCCAGCTGTTCTTCTACAGGCAGTGCTGGAGTAATTTCCTTTTCCCCATTTTCGGTAGACGCAGAAGGTCTTTCTGCGATGTCGTCAGCCTCAGCCCTGATGGCTTTATCCTCAGGGGACGTTTGTGCCAAAGCATTTGTTTCATGCGCAGCCTGATTAGGGCGATCGTCCCTCACCAGCCCGGCCTGTTCCTCCAAAAAGGCAGACACGCGTTCAAGCTGATGCCTCTCGTCCAGAACTGGAGCATCCATTTCAGAGTGCACTTCGACTTGCACAGGCTCTGACGAGGGCTGTACCTCTGCGGTGGGTGGCTTTCTCATCTCCTCCAGAACTTCAGAGCGTGGCAACCCTTCACTAGCTTCCGTTGGTAGCTCGGCGCGGACGATGTCCTGGGCGGCCATTTCAGTAGAAGGTGACTCCTTTCCAGTGACACGCTGTGTCTCCATCTGGTTATCTGCTGGCTCCTTCGTGTCTTTTATCCCCGCGGTTTCCGCTTCGATGGCCGGCTTCTCACGTTCGAGTGTAACATCGGTTTCTGGGCTGGTCGGCGTCTTTCTACCGCTAGGTGGCAGATCCTGACTCTTGTCTGCGTCTGAGATCTGCTCCCGCTGGGGGATGGCTTCCGTCCCGGCGACGCCAGCTGTAGTGCTCTCAGTGGTAGTGCGCACGATCTCTGCCTGTTCGCGGAGGAAAGCGGCAACGGGCTCTTCGGCATCTGCTGCATCTGCTTTGATTTGCAGTTCATCAGTTGGATATCCGTCTTCCGTGCGGAGTTTTGCTGGTTCCGCTTCGTCTTTGGGTGTTGGTGGCGAGGGATGAGCCTCTGGGACCTCTGACGGCTTTTCCAGTGCCTTGCCATCCAAAGATCCAGGCACTTCGCTCGGTGGCTTAACATCCGTTGCAAGCTCTTCCACTGGCAGCTCTAATGTCGGCTCATGCTGAACCTCTGCTTCGACAACTGCGCCACCCTGGATTTGCACAGGACTCGTCTTGGGACCCTCCTCCGCAGGCTCCTCAATTTGTCAGTGCTGAGTTCTGTGATGGCGCTGGTGGTGCTGACAGCGGCTTCTATACCATCCTGGGCTTGCACAGGACTCGTCTTCCGACCCTCTTCCGCAGGCTCCTTCAATTTGTCAGTGCTGAGTTCTGTGATGGCGCTGGTGGTGCTGACAGCGGCTTCTATACCATCCTGGGCTTGCACAGGACTCGTCTTCCGACCCTCTTCGGCAGGCTCCTTCAATTGGCAGTGCCTGAGTTCTGTGATGGGGCACTGTGGTGGTGCTGACAGCGGCTTGCTATAACCATCCCAATGGGCTTTGGCACAGGACTCGTCTTCCGACCTCTCTTCGGCAGGCTCCTTCAATTTGTCAGTGCCGAGTTCTGCGATGGCACTGGTGGTGCTGACAGCGGCTTCTATACCATCCTGAGCTTGCACGGGACTCGTCTTGCGACCTTCCTCTGCAGGCTCCTTCAATTTGTCAGTGCCGAGTTCTGCGATGGCACTGGTGGTGCTGACAGCGGCTTCTATACCATCCTGAGCTTGCACGGGACTCGTCTTGCGACCTTCCTCTGCAGGCTCCTCTAATTTGTCTGTGCTGAGTTCTGTGATGGCGCTGGTGGTGCTGACGGCGGTTTCTGTGCCATCCTGGGTTTGCACGGGACTTGTCTTGCGACCCTCCTCCGCAGGCTCCTCCAATTTGTCAGTGCTGAGCTCCGTGATGGCGCTGGTGGTGCTGACGGCGGCTTCTTCCACAGACCGTTCGTCGACACTGGGCAGGTGTGGTGCGTCGGACGCCCACTTGTCGCGCTGGTCCTTGGGCGAAATGGGGGACGGTGTCGTGGCGCTGCTCGCGATGGTAACCATCTCGGGCCGTTCGCGCTGCACGGTCTCGTGGCGCGCCTCCGCCTCCACGCCGCGCTCCATGTACGGCTCACCGATCGGGTAGATATCGCGTCGCGGAGAGGTGTATATGTCATCCGGACGATGAGTGACCGAGTTCTTCGGGCTCGGCTCTCCAGCCTCCACCTGGCCGCCAAGGACCGGACTCTGGCTCGGCGATTCCCGCGCCTCGCCCGTGTCCGGTGGCGGTGTCGGCTCTTCCGCGTCGCCCGCTGGTTCGTCTGGCGAGCTGCTCTTCATCTTCATGTTGAGCTGGTCCTTTTCGCTCTTCGGCGACGTCGACCTGTCCTCGGCGATCGACTCCTTCTCCTTCTCGGTGTCCTCTTCCGTGACCGGCTTGCGCCCTGTTAGCGGCGGCTCGGCCTCTGCCTGCTCAGCCTTGCGAGCTTCCTCCACCTCGTGAGCCGTCCGCTCCCCAGGCCGCGGGCGTAGCTCTTCGTGCTCGGACGGCTCGAGCGCCTCATGCTCCGGCAGCTCGGCCACCTCGTCCGGCGTCTTCACCGCGTCTTTCTTCTGGGCAGTTGTCCCTTGCAGTTCTGTCAGCTTCATGAGCGCCTCGTCCGGGCGAGGTGGCGACTTTTGGCTGCTGGCCGAGCCACCCTGCATGAGTACGGCCTCCTCGATGTCCGTCCTCCTCAGCACCTCCTCCGAGGACTGTCGTATGTCCTTTGAGTCCTCGGTGGTGGGGCTTTGTTTCAGGCTGTCGATCTTCTCGTCAACTTTTCGGAGTTCCAGAGAGTCTGTTTCAATTTCACGGCTGAAGTCCCCACTCACCTGTTCCAGTGAGTCCACGGCGCTGCCCTCCTGCACTTCTTCGATGAACCGCTGCACCTCTGTTGTCACTTTGGTGACTGTAAGCATGTCACCTGCCATGGTCACTTCTTCTATGTCTCCACTGCCCCGCATGGTGCTGACTTCCTGTTCCTGGCCTTGTTTTTCTTTCGGTGAAGATGTTACCGATGGCTTGAAGCCGTCTGCTCCTTTCGCTTTGATGCCACGTATCTTCTTGGGAGATGGCGGCGCTTTTGTACGAGATCTGGCACCAGTGGACTTCTCAGACTTTGTGTCAGGTCGTGCCTTCCCCTTCTCTGCACCTTTCTTGGCTTCGACCGTTTTTGTTACCTTTGTTTCCGTGACAACCCTCTGGGTTTTATTCTCCACTGTGGCCTTGGTGACTTTAGCTTCCGTTTTTGCCGGCTTTGCCTTTGTCGCAATCCGCGACACTTTCTTCTCCTCAACAATCATCTTGTTGTTAACTTCCTTCTTCACCTTCACTGGGGTCGGGACGTCCTTTCCTTCCGTTGCTAGGTTTGTCGCACTGTCACGTGTTTCTTTGGACGCCTCTTCCGTCTGTTTATTGTCATCTTTTGGACCCTTCGGTTTCTTCGGCCGCGGAACTGCCGACTTCGTCTCCTTTGGAACATCAGCCTTCTCGGGTTTGGGTTTGGGCTTAGCCGGTGGAGCTTTCTCGGCTCTCTCCTTGTTGGCTTCCTGCTTCTTGGCCTTGATCTCAGCGAGCATTTCAGACCCGGTCTTGTCCGGCTTCTTCGACCCGTCCGAGTCTCCATTCCTGGCGTGACGGCTGCTCGAGCGGACGCGTCTCCTCTGCTCCGCATCCACTCTCTCGATCCGCTCCGTCCTCCCGGCCACGGACGACGTCCTTGTCCCGGACTTCAGCAGCGAGTCAAGCGTCTTGTACTTCTTGTGCCCCAGCGACTTGACGAGGCAGACGGGCGTCTTCATGAACTCGAGGTGCTTCAGTCGGTCCAGGCCTTCAAACACTTTCTGCTGCGGCGCCGAGCCGGGGAAGAGCAGGCGTGTGACGGTGTCGTGCCGGTCGTCCGGAATCCAGACCAGCAGGCAGCAGATGGACACGAGGTTGGCCACCGGGAACTCCTTGCCCTTCACCTTGAGCGTGACGCGTGACTGGTCGGGTCCCTCCGTCCAGCTCTTGAGAAACGCTTGCATTTCAGCGCCGTCCTTCTGCGGATTCAGCACGTACAGGTCCAGCCGGCCGTGGCCGACCTTGTGGTAGAGGTTGATAGGCTCGGTCGAGTTGTCGCGCAGGCACGGGGTAGGCTTCAGCGCCAGACCCTTGAGGTTGGTGAGTAACCTCTGCGCCTCGGCCTGCGTGTTGACGAGCAGAGGGGTCGCCGTCCTTGACGCCGTCCGGCGAGATCTTCTGGTCCACCAGGTTAGTGAAGAAATGCCCGATCTGCGGGTAGGTGGCGTTGTCGACCTTCCGCTGCAGCATGGCTGACATGCCCATCAGGTTGCCATTGTTTAGGCGGGACATGAGAACGGCGTCCAGCCGGTCGAGGTGTCGCACAAAGTTCCAGCAGCAGGCACGCCTGCTGAATCCACCGTCGAAGAGGATGTTGAAGCCGTTGATGCCGAACATGGCGGCGTCACCTTGGCCACCGGGGAACACGTAGAGGGTGGGCCTGCTGAAGCGGATGTTTCCAACCACATCGGACGGATTCAGGAGATCCTCCAGCGAGGCAGGGCCGAGAAAGCCGGACAAGTACTCCTTGAACGCGGCCACCTCATTTGGCTCGATTTCTTTGTCCGGAGGGTTCATCCGCACCTTGCTCGATGCAAAGACCGGGTCCTTGAGAAGGGTGTCCGACCGCCAGATGCCCTCCTCCGGACAGTGGATGTGGATGCTGAGACTGGACTCGTACGCCCTGGTAACCCGCTGGACATCCGGCTCCCTCAGGGCGTCAAGCAGGTCACTGCCGCTGAATGTGCCGTCCTGCAACGGCACCAAAAGGCTTCGTTGTGTTATTGCGCACTTCCCTGGGGTCTAAAGCCATGGCCGGCTTTGAAGAGTGGACTGGGTGTAGCTTTCCATAATGTGTAGTTCTGACTTTATCAACGCAATGCAGTTGTCGTAAATAAAACCGTCAGCACACTGTACACTGAGATAACTTTGAGTTAGACCAAATTACGTAAAACTCTGCCAACGGTCGGAAGCATTCATCACGTTTGAGCGCCGTATAACTGGTTCAAACACGCCGTAAAGCAGCGGAGCGCTGTCCGCCCGAGTGACGGCAACGGTTTGAAACACGAACCTGCAATATCCATGAGCCGTTGCCGCTGAAGACGTAGCCGGCGTGGATGAGGTGGCGATGTCGTGTGAAGCTGGCCAGCATGTTCTTCAGACACTGCTGGAACGTGTACACCTGCGGGTTCACCAGTATCTCGGCCACCACGTTCTCGGTGGCGAACTGGATCAGCCGCTCTCCTGCCGGAAGGGTGAATCGGTGATGTCAGGTCAGTCAGGTCAGGTAAGGCTGTCGGCCACTCTTGGTCTGGGGCAACCCTCGGTCAGCTCTGGGGCTAAATGGGCCCTCAGCGAGGCGAAAGAGCTGGCCAGCGCCCAGCTAGGTAGAGGAATGGGTCAGCGCTCAGCTAGGTGGAGGACTTCGTCAGACCTCAGTCAGGGTAGAGTAATGAATGAGCTCTCGACATGTGGGGAAAATGAGCCAGTTCTGTTTGATCTAGACAACGAGGTTTGCTTTCGGTAGTATCTAAAATTGAATAAGCTCTCGATCGAGTAAAAATAACAAAATTAACTTTGCTTTCTTGAATGACTGGATCATTTCATCATCAGTTCGGCGATCAAAAACTTAATTGCGCTGCGCTATATCGAAGGAAAGGAATTGGGCTATTGGCAGTCGTCGCTGTTCCGCTCAATAAACACGACAGCTTGCGTGCGCCACCAAAGGATTGGTGTAACAGCCTACCACTCAATTTCCGGATTGTTTTCTGTGACTTATCGTGAACAGACTCCCTTTAAACTTCAACTGAACAAAATCAAAACGACATGAAACATTTCCATGACGATAACGAAAGTAAAAGAAACACCCGCAGCATTCCTAGCTGTGATCTTCTGCGGCTGACGCCCTGCTCCCCAGCCGTGTCTGTCGCCACAACACCAGCGACCGGCCATGTCCGGGCGCCGGTGGGTCCCTGGCAACGACCACCGCGCCGGTTACGAGCATCCTACGGCTGTGCAGGGATTTCAGACTGGTTGCAGAGCCGTGGCGGCCCCAAGGTCCCGTTAGTTGCGTATAAAAGCTGGCGAGGGCTCCGGAGAGCTCTACTGCCACCAAGTCTCATCCGTGTTCGCTGATAGGAGCTCATCATACTTGCCGCGGGCTTTGCTGGGCACTGATGAAGCCAGATAGGGATTAGGGTCTTGAGCTGATATTCCGGCGCGGCTGTCATGTTTTGTAATGATGCATCCGGTACTGCGGTCAGGCAGATTGTGCCGTCGAAGGCGGTGATAACCTGATGCGACCAGTGACACGCTTCTAAAAAGCACAATGGTGCACTGTCTTTCCCATGGCGGATTTGGCTCTTGTCTGCGACCTTCTAAGACCAGGTTTGGTTTTCTAATGTCGGTGTGAAATGGAATGACGTCAGAGTCCAAATAACTTTTTCGTCGCGCAATGGAATCGGAGTGTTACTAGTGCAGTCAGAACTCGTATCTGAATGGCATGGATCGATCGGGGAGGCAGAAACTAGCTTCGTCAGACCAGGGCGTCAAACTTCTTGGCTTGCAACAGCAAGCCAAAACTTAACACCGAGCGCCCAGTGTCCCGGATGTAAAAGTTCCCTGATCCGGTGACTTTTTACGAACAATATCACGGATTTTGAAGCAAAGGCATGGTGGTCATAGAACACGGGCTCAGAAAAGCTTCGATGCCAGCGGAGCCACGGCGCCTACCGACTTTCGCAGCGTCTGAAGCATCACTTTGAGCTACGTCGGCAGATGGGTGCTGTGTTAATCTCATTGGAGGCAGCCGTTAATCAGGTGAGAGTGGATGTCATTGTGGCTTGGCACGCAACCGGATGGATAGCTCAGTGGCCAAGAATGCAGATCATTGCATTTGCATGCGACAGTGGCACTAATGAGGTACTTTGTTGCGTTACGAACATGAGAGGCCATTCCAGCAGGATAAAGTCTGTCTCCACGGAGGCTTTTGCATACAAGGCGTTTGTTGCTTGGAGTTAAAAGAAAGTTGCAGCAGACTTCTTCTGAAGTGCTCTGAGCTCACATTCACCTGCACGTCCAGAAGAATTGGGTGTGCGCAGTCACAAGTCACAGTCACAGTCACAGTCACAGTCACAGTCACTGAATGCGCAGTCACAAGAAGGTATGCTCTTCACCATCTCTTCCACTTCAAATGCTGTGCCTAATTTGAGACGTCGAGATGAAGTGGACTAACCTTGAAAGGCGCAAGGAAGTTCGATTTGCAACGGGAGCTAAGGGCAATTCTCAAATGGCTAAAAAATTCACTTGCACTGAATACATTTGGTGCAATTACTGTGCATTGGCTGCGGCGATGCATATAGCTCTTCCTGTGGTAGGAAAAGTAGTCCTGTCCTATCGTCTTCGTGAAGTCTCACACAACTTACAGGCTCATTTTACCACCACCGTGAGGCGGTGAAAGTATAATAGATTGGCACGACAAATGGATGTTTTCACGATGGTTATTGCGTTGAAAAGGCCTCGAATTGTTCAATTCTGTAATGATACTTTAAGCTCATACTAAATGCGCCCCTAATCAAACAGTTTTTCATGCAATTCCATTAACTTTAGATAGGGATAAACTCTTGCCCCGAACCCAGCGTATGTTTTTAACACGAAACGAGACGCTTTATGAGCGTCTGCGTCTTCAGTCCATGTTTTTAGCTCAGCTGAATTCTAGGACAATACCAGGCCCGGCAGCGGCATGGATTGGACGAAAGCGTTGAGTGCTAAGCCGCGCCGTTATTGCTTACACCGGCGCCGCGTGGAGCATGGTAAGCTTCGAGCCGTGTCTGGGCAAGTAGGCTCTAAGTGACACACACCTATAAACAGGGTTGCAGCCAGGATATAAGGGTCGTCTGTTTTGTCGCGTCTGCGTAAGATCTGTCAGCCGATCATTTTTTTTTTTAAGCTTCGGAAAGGTTCGGTGAGAAGAGATCTGCATGACACGGCCGAAACAGGCGCTATCTTTGTTATAACAAGCAGAGTAGAATTTTAGCGATACGTTAGTCTTATAAATATGCTTTTATACATTCGCAAGGCCGCAAAGGCTTTTTAAAAAGCTATGTACATCGGCAAGAAACGTTTAAACTGTCTGAAATTTTGTAGAAGTCTTGCACCGCCATCTTTCTTGAAAGGTCAAATATGAAGAATGTGAAAAACATCAACTTGGTTATTTGCGTGATGCACCATGTACGGATAGCAGCTGTTCCCCCCGCCCCCCGGGTAAAATGCATGCATTGATTTTGAAGCCATTAAATGCATGGGTCATGAAGACTTGCAACACCGCTTTCCTGTGTTTTTAAAATATAAAAAATTTCACATCCGTGCGACATAAATATTGTGCTGTTGTTGTTCACAGTTTCACCGTTGGATGACTGCATGCCATATTATCTGGTTGAAAATGCATGGCCAACCAGTGAGTGGCATGCTCAAATACTGATCTCCACCTAAAAAATCATGTGTAGATCAGGTTTTTGACATAAGTGCAGCCCCTCGCACCGACTTCGACAGAGTCTGGGCAGTACCAGCCATGGATTCCACGAGTGTGGATATACTGATTTCAGCTAACCACCGCACGGACAGCCCAGAGGCTCTCGGCCTCACCAGCGCACCGTGGCGACCACGGGAGCCAGGCGTCACGTCTGGCTCCAGCACCCCTCCCCACCGCGGGGCAACAGGCCAGCGAGCCGGGCTCTGCAGCCAATCGTCGAGATTTATGGTGTCGATCTGACGCCGTCGCCGCTTCTTGCCGGCGGAGCGCCGCGTCAGGACCACCGCCACCGCCGCCAGCTTCGCCTGCCGTCGGCGGAGCCGCCGCTCCGGCCGCCGCAGCGACCGACGACGCCGGGGAAATGAGCCCGGACCCCGCGCGGCGCTCGTCGCAGTATTCTTGCCGCGGCCGCCGCCGGCCTCCTGTTTTTTGCCGTCGTCTGGGCTGGGTATTTTCTCGGCGCCGCGGGCGATCGCCCGCCGGCGGCGGTGCCGAACCGCGCAAAAGCTCGAGCTACCAGTCGAGCATTACTACGGAAACTAGGGCCCGGGGAAGACACCGCTCGCTAAGGAAGGAAAGGGTCTGGAGCGGAGGTGGCCTGGCAGGCGCTGATGGCCGCTGTCTGGGTCGCTGTGATCTTCCACCGCATCGGTCGGTCTACTTTTAGATCTGACAGAGAAGGCGGTGGGGAGCGCATGAGGTAACAAGCTGATCCTACCTCACATCCAGTATGTTATAATGAATTATTTTGATCCGACCTCATTCCCCGTTCGATTCTGGCCCATACTCTTGCCAAATACGTTAGAACAAGTCAGTACTAACGTTAATAACTATCTGATTTAATCCAAGGATTCCAGTACATAAATTGATAACAATAGATTAGAACATGAAATGTTAATACGGAAAGTAATATACAACTAATAGAATGACAAAAGTTACATCATCCAACTAAATAGATGCAAATTTGTCCAAAAAAGAAAGCGCAAAAAATATTTCTGAAATATCTAATAAAGGATTCCGTTCGTTGTTCGCATCATTTCTCAGAAGCGGCTGGGTGTTCCATGCCATAGCATTCAAAAACCTTGGAGAGCCTGAAATGCTGCTGGCCGCCAAACTGCGTGGCGTAGCACTCGCACCAACGGGGTGAGCGGGACGCGTCCTACACTACTCAGCAGACCGATAACACATCTGTCCCGCGTTAATGGGGAACGAGCCGAGAGGGTGACAGGGCGGGAGAACTGTTGTGATCGTTAGTATAATTGGGTTGTTAATGTGCTGTTTTCCTTCTCCCGGCCGCTGTCCGCCCTCGCTTTCGCGAGAGGGATTAGCTAACTGCAGCTGCCGTTAATCCAGCGCCAGCTAAATACGTTTCACAGCCACAGTGTGACACGGCCCGTTCCCGTGGTTTGAAATGGTGGTTCCGTGGTCTCTCCCGTGGCCTCCTCCGTGCTAGTCTCTAACTCTGAAGCACGGGCTTCGAGCTTTCCCATGGACTGATACAATGTCCTAGCCGCTGACGACGACCCAGGCAGTGCCTTCACGATTCCTCCCCCGCCCCCTGCCCCCGTGTCGCCAAGCTTTATAGCCATTCTCGCCGTCCACAGCCCGTATACGGCCCCACACCGGGTTTTACCGCGAGCATTCCATGCATTAAATAACGACAGCAGTCCACCGGGAGTGGAATGTAGCCACCTTCCGCGCTG